AAGAAGAAGAAGAAGAAGAAGAAGAAGAAGAAGAAGAAGAAGAAGAAGAAGAAGAAGAAGAAGAAGAAGAAGAAGAAGAAGAAGAAGAAGAAGAAAGACCTTGTATATAGACTTTTGTTTCACTAGTAAAGATGCATAAATGCAGCCAGGCAGTGGTGGTGCACACCTTTAATCCCAGCACTTGGGAGACAGAGGCAGGAGGATCTCTGTGGTTTGAGACCAGCCTGGGCTACAGAGTGAGTTCCAGGAAAGATTTCAAAGCTATACAGAGAAACCCTGCCTCAAAAAACAAACAAACAAACAAACAAAAAAACCCAAAACAAAAACAAAAACAAAACAAAAACGTATAAATGCATATAATGACATTACACACACACACACACACACACACACACACACACACACACACACACACACACACACACTGATAGAAACCAGCATTTACAGGTGACCGATACACAATCTGGGTGACCTGTACATTAATGAACTATTTCTGATAATGGTTTTTTGTTTGTTTTGTTTAAGTAGAAAATAGCAATATACTAAATGAAAACATTCATGCTGGTAACTAAATAATTTATGCAGGAATTTTTTAATTTTTATTTATTTTTGGTTTCTTGAGACAGGGTTTCTCTGTGTAGCCCTGGCTATCCTCAAAGTCGGAGATCCACCTGCCTCTACCTCCCAAGCGCTGGGATTAAAGGCCTGTGCTACCATTGCCCACTGAGAAGTTTTTAATCTGAAAGTAAAAAGTGAAAATGAGACATCTTTACAAAAATGTGTGCTATATTTGTGGTGCATAAATAAGGAAAATTTATGAGAATTATATGAAAGACCAACAGACTGTGAGAAGACTAGTATGAGGGGAGGCAGTTATCCAAGGAAGAAATGTAATGAGGTGGGTCAGAAATGCCAGCGATCTGAGGAGAAAAGCCAGCTTTGGAGAATAGTGACTCCTCTAGCGTCTTGACTTCCTCGGGACATTGCTTTCGTAGAGAGACTGTATTGCGCATGTGTGTGCGAGTGTGATCTATGGCCTGCACATAGAGGTCAGAAGACAACCTTCAGGATTGGTTTTCTCCTTCTACTGCTTCGCTTCTGGGGATGAGCTCAGGTTGTCAGGCTTGGGGGTGAGTGACATTGCCTGCTGAGCCACAGAGATGCTTCAGAAAGCGAGGCATGGTCTTCTTGTCCCACAGGAGCTTACGTGTGTGACAACCTCTGATTTGAAGCCAGTGAGCCTGCACAGCTCTGCCAGGCCTGCTCTGGGCTGGCCCTCACCTGACAGCTCCAGCTTATCCACCGAGACTTCGGCTTTCGGCACCGGGCCGGAAGCTGGCGGCATCTCCAGGTTTGGGATTGACTTCATGATGTTGGCCTGAGCTTCTTCCAGCAGCTTCTCAAACTCTTTCCCGTTATAGTGTTCCAGATTTTGCCTTTTTTCTTCCCATTTCCTTTCTGCTTTCTGAAGGAAAATAACAATTGCAGATAGTTTAAAAACGAGAGAGAAGATTTAGGTTAGAGATTTCATACTGAAGTGTTGGAGGGGTATAGCACAGTTAAAAGTGTTGATGAGATGATGCTCTGGTCCATCTGAGGCTGCCTACTACCTTATGTCTGCCACACTGCCCAGACCCATCAAGCTGCTTCAGAAAAGCTATCCCAGAAGCTCAAACCTAGCCCTTGACAATCACTCACGATATACTTCTGCCAATGCTAAATTAAAATGGGTATGGATGTTGCTTTCAAAGGTATTTTCTATTACTAAACTTTGTTTTCTAAATTCAGCGTTCATTGCAAAAGGAATGTTTAGACAAACAGAAACGCAAACCCAAATGCTCACTAAGAACCACATTGAGAACCTATGTCCTGATTTTACAATGCATTCATGTACTGAAATATCACATGATACTCTATTCATATGTACAAATTTATGTTCTTATGTATCAACTGCAAAAAATAAATTAAGGTAAAAAAAATCCTTGGCCTCAATTCTAATTCTGCTCAAGATACTGCGGGACCTCTGGGCCATCCTTTTCTTACTTATGAAATGGGAAAGGTATTGTTTTAGATTGTCCACCATGGGATCAAGTTTCTTCATAGAGACACACTCAAGTATTTTGAAAACAAACAGAAGCCCCACTTCCAGCACCACCAGTCTCCTGTGTGGTCCTCCCTGGTGCTGACCACCTGGCATATACTTGGTGAGCCACAAACAGGCGAGAGCCTCGCTCACGGCTGACCCAGAGTCTATCGGGGACAGTAAGGATCAGCGAATGACTAAATCATCCCTGATCTGTCAATGGCCCGGGCAACAGAAAGGCCCTGGGCCTCCCTACCCATGCAGAGGGCATTTCAGAGACAGTGACTAAGTGTCCTTTCACAACGTGAGATGCACACATCTTATTGATAATTATGTCTACCAGGATTTTAGTAGATGTTTATAAAATACAAGTGTTGTCACACTGACATCCTTTAAGTAAGGAAATACACAGCCCCGCCCCCACCCCCGTGCTGGGGATAGAGTCATACTCCACCTATCACCTCCCATCCCTTCTTCAATAAGCAAGTTTTAAACAAGTGACATGGATCAGGACACAGACACTGCATATGTAATGGGAACCTCCCCTTGGCTAGAGGCCACACGACTGTGCCTATGGCAGTTTTAAGAGGTCATCCCAACACACCTCGAGTTATCCACTGGTGACAAGTGAGACAGGTGAGGGTGGCTATGACCAGGCAGCTAGGGACAGAGTGGAGGAAAGGCTCTGGGATTAGGGGAGAGTGAGAGCTGGGGAAGCAAAATATATTTACAATAATATGCTTTTTTTTGTATGGCATTTGACTTATTTTCTCAGTGTCGGGGAACCCAGGAACGAGCATATGCTGAGCCAATGCTTTGTTGTCCTTTTCCCACACCAGCATCTTACTGTGCAGCTCAGGCTGCCCTCCAACTCACCATGTTCCTGCGTTAGCCTTTCAACTACTACAACATAGGCGTTCCCTACCACGGCCACTGCTTCATTTCCATTCCTAGACTACTACCATAACTTCCCATTGGCTCCCTCAATTCCAAACCCACCACCTCAATCAACTCTGCGTATTGTCTCTGGATTTCCTAGAGATACCATTTTGAGAACTCACTCACTGGTCAGACCTTCCATGTTCTCAAATATCTCTAAATCACACCCCAGGGACCTTGTACTGGCTTCCAAGTGCTCCCAGATCACCACACAACCAGCTAAACTGGTTTACTCCCAGCCTGCCTTCTTTTCCAGCTTTGCTCTAGCCCAGGATGCCCTCCTCAGCATCTTGTCCTGGTTAGTTTGTCAACTTGATACAAGCGAGAGTTATCTGGGAAGAGGACCCTCAGTTGAGAAACCGCCTCCATCAGATTGCCTGTAGGCAAGTGTGTAGGGTGTTTTCCTGATTAACAATTGCTATGGAAAGGCTCAGCTCACTGGGGGCTGTGCCATCCCTGGGCTGGTGGTCCTGGGGTCTATAAGGAAGCAGGTGGAGCAAACCATGGGGAAGAAGCCAGTAAGCAGCGCTCCTCCGTGGTCTCTGCTTCCGTTCCTGCTCTGGGTTTTGCTTTGAGTTCCTTCCTTGACTTTCCTCATTGGACTATGACCCAGTATATGGAAGCCAAATAACTCCCCCCCCCCCCCCCCCCCCGAGTTGCTCTTGGTCATGGTGCTTATCACAGCAACAGAAAACAAACCATGCCTTCTCTGTTTACTAGTGACTTCCGGATGGGAGGCAAACACTCTCCAAGCTCGCCTTTAGCATGGTGTCTCTGTGTGCGCTGGCTCAGAAAACTTACTGCCTCATTTCTCTGTAAGCTTACATTCTGCCACCTCAGGTGGGCATACAAGGTCCCAGATCAGCTCCTGTAGGAGCTGGCAGATGTTTCCTATCAGGTTTTTCCCCATGAGAACGGGTTGCTCAACATTTACCAGCATACCTCTGACCCATCTTCCTCCAGGTTAGGGGTCATCCTCACACCTGGTGACCTTTCCCTCAACCCTACTCCTGTATTCTGTTTCTAGAAAAATCTAAACACAGACAACAACAAAACCCCTACATATCTATAGAAAGCTATCTTTAGTCACAATGTATCTTTGATTCATATTGCATTCATATGAATACAATCCTATTCATGTATGTGCACAATACATATGCATACATTGGCATTTAAATACACAGCAGTCAGAATATACACTCCCTGCAGGAAAGGGCATGGGGTTGTGAGAAATGAAAATAGGACTCTACCTCAATGGACACTGCCCTGTTCTTGGCACTCACACTGTGGATTTCCTCAATGAACAAACTCTGCATGGAGGAACCGTTCATCGGGGTTTGAGGGGACTGGGGGGCTGGAGCCGACTGCGGTGCAGAGGTTATTTCCTGTGTGGCTGCTGTGGGGCTGGCTGCATGGGAACCAGTCCCTCCGGGCAAGTTCTGGGCTGGGTTCAGCAAGGCTGAGGAGTGTTGAGAGGGCTGCATGACCACAGGGGAGCTCTGTACATGGTGAACCGTCATGGTGGACAGCGGTACCACTTCTGACTTCACATCACCAGGACCTCCCGGGCTGCTGTGGAGGGGCTGCCCAGGCACATGGACTGTCTCCTCCTGATGCTTCAGGACTTCTGCAGCTGTGGCTTTCTCCATGGCGACATACTGGGCAGCTTGGGCTGCATCTGTGCCTTTCAGGAACCCATCAGTGACATGCCTAGGAGAAACCATGCACAGCAGTGTTAAATGGGGACCCGTGTCCCTCCATGCTCTCTCGGTGGTGTGTTTGAATGCCATGCATCAGTATCAGTTTAGGGGAAAATATTAAAGAACTCAGGAGTAGCTCAGAAGTGAGAGGGTTACCCTGGCAATGCACAAAGCCACACAGGCTTTTGCAGTTCTTCAAAAGATTTTGTGTGCATATGTGTGTCCGTCCTCACACACATGTGCCAGGGTCCACATGGAGATCAGAGTATAATCTGTGGACTCCCAGTCCTTACTTCCCACCTTGTGGAAACTGAGGCTGGATTTCATTGCTGCTCTGGATGCCAGCATGGTCATCAATGCCAGCATGGTCATCAATGCCAGCATGGCCTGTGAGCTTTTGGAGACTTGTCTGTCTCTACCTCCCATCTCTGTTCATAAGTGTACTCATGCCACTGCATTGGGTACTACAGGGGTGCTAGGGATTTGAACTCAGGTCCTTATGCTTTGTGGCAAATGCCCTTACACAGTGAGCCATGCCATCAGCCCCAGGAAATGGTCTCTCTTTTTTATGATAACACTGTGGTACCCAGACTGAGACTAGTCCCTCACTGCTTGGTGGTGGTAAATGAAAGTGAACCCATGCTTATCAACATTCACTCCTCCACCTGAACTTGGCCTGTGAAGCCCTCACATACACTCAATTCTCACTCAGAAGCTTCTAGAAGCCTCCAAACTCTTCTTGGATTGTGAGCCATGTCAGGCTGCCTCTCACCTTATTGCTTTCTTTCCCTTATACCTTATTGCTATTTTTTCCTTTACATGGAATCAACCAAGTATTTCAAATTCAAGGCCAATTGTGATTCTAAATTGAGGTGTGTTTTGTTCCCCATCCTCCCGAACATGCTATGCAAATGTTCTTCAGCTGATTTAAATCCATGTGCTTGGGTTTGGAGACAAAGTCTGTGTAGCTCACGCTGACCTTGAACTTGTGATCCTCCTAAGGGCTGGGGTTATAACCTTCCCTGGTTCTTTGGGAGTCATTCAAAGTTATGTGTCTATTTTCACACAGACTGCACTGGAAAAGATGGTGGTCTTTGGAAGTACACACCCTGTGTTTGAGTATCAGTTCTAACATGTTCTCGAATGCCAGGGACATTGGCACTTTGAATCTCAGGTACTTCTGTAGAATGTAATGATGGCAATAAAGATGGCTCCTTCTTACAGTTGGGTGGTGGTGGTGCACGACTTTAGTCCCAGCACTCAGGAGGCAGAGGCAGGTGGATCTGAGTTTGAAGTCAGTCTGGTCTACACAGTGAGTTTCAGGGCAGCCAGGGCTGCACAGTGAAACCTTGTCTTGAAAAACAAAGACAGTGCCTTCTATGAGGAGTGTGTGTTTGAATTAATACTGTAAAGTTATGTATCAAGAAATGTCAAACAGGGGACTTACTCCTCACATTTTAATTAGTTTTGCAATCTCTTCTTATTAGAATGCTTTCTCTTTTTTTCTGACTTGAACAAAAGACACCAAGTTCTCTGACTTTCCTCTGCAACCCACCTGTGTCTTTTCTGCTTTTTACTTTACCTAGTATAGGCTACTTCGTCTCCAAGTCACTGAATATTCAAAGCAAATGGTCCCATCTTCTTCAAGACCTATATACTGGTTCTAAGACAAATACTGAGCTTGATCACCCAGTGCTGGGTATGAAAACATCTTTTAACTGGTTTCCAGAGAGAAGAGAGAAGGGCCATTGCTTCCTGCCAGCCTACTGTTTACCTTTAATGAGGTTGGCTTAGTTTAGACTTCATGGGCTCTCACATTTGGGCAATAGCTTACTGAAGAAGTACTTTAACTGGTCTTGATTGTAGTGGAGGAAAGAGTTTACTTGGTAAGAGAAAATGAATGAACTCATGGGAAAGAGTATCACAGTACAGCTCCTTGCTGGATGGTCTATGTGGACTTAGAATTCCTTTGGCATTTGGTATTTCTGCAGTTGACTATACACTTGCTTTGGAAAGTTATCTTATTGAGGTTTGTTATTGTTAAAAAAAAATCAGACCTGCTTCTTATGACTAGTTATCCATCTCAAAGTTAAATGTATACCCAATATAATTCTCTTCTAAATCTGATAGAGCAATTATAGTCAGGGAACAAAATTCTTACAAAGTTTCTGACATATTACTTTTGCCTGGCAACTACTACTTCTTTTTTCTCTCTCTTTCCTTCCTTCCTTCCTTTTTTTCTTTTTTTCTTTTTTTTTTTTTTTTTGTGGTGGTGGTGTTCATGACTAAACACACCCTAGGCAAATGTTCTACTACTGAGCTATACCCCAACCTTTGTAAGCACGTTTTCACTGGGTGTGATGATTCTAGATTTTTTCATTGAGAGTTACAGATCAGGCAGTGATTTCTCTGGATCTTTCTTCACAGTAATGATCTTTAATGAGCAGGTCCACTCAAGCATGCTTATCTTCTTTCCTAGGTGGTACCAGCATGTTCTCAGACACTCTTTCAGTAGATAAACACTTGACTCAGTCTTTCTAACTAGTCTCCTAGGCCCCAAAGGTGAAGGAGGCTAATAGAATATTTTAATTTGTTCTTCACCTACAAAATGTTACATTTATTTTTTAAAAACTATTTACTTACCTAATTTTATTTTTAAATTCATTAATTTCATAGTAGTGGGGATCAAACCCAGGAGCACATGCTACCATTAAGCCTAGCACATGACTAATAATTTAAAAGAAAGACTATCATGGGTCCAATGCAAAAGTCTACACTAAGGAATTAGACCCTCAAGCCATATTGCAGCAAATGTTTAGGGCTGAAGGAGTTGTGAGTCCTCCTCAGGATGCCATAAATAAGGGGTTATTTGGAGAAGGGCAGGAACCTAGAGCCCAGGAATTGCACACCAGCCTTTCAGGTCTCCTCCTCAGCCACCCCACTAGGGCCACAACAGTCACCTCCGCAACATCGTCAGGACATCCGTCATGCTCCTCACTCGCTTCAGGAGGCTGTCCAGCTTGTGTGGTTCTTCCTTCAGGAACCTTACTGCCTTGACTTCTATGCGCAGGACAGCACGCATCTTATTTTGCAAGGTTGGAAACTCTCCTACAGGCCAAAGCAGTGAGTTAATGGAGTAAGAAGGCAGAGTAACCACACCCATCCCACTCCTGTGACCTCGGGTAGCACAGAATACCATGTCCACACGTGTGGGGAGGCAGTGGGTTGAGAGCACAGGTGGTCAGACCAAGTGACCTTGGAGAAGGTCACAGCCCCTCTAGATCCATTCCCTGTGTGTTACGGATAAGGCCAACTGAAAGTTAGGTTTGTGTTCAAGAGTGGTATGTCTGTAGGGTCCAGTAAAAGTGAAGAGACAGTTATAATTGTATCATTCAGTTTCCATCTTTAGCACACTCTATAAGGGCCCTTTAAGAAGTCCTGAATGAATCTGTCACTATCTGAAAGATTGGTTATTTATTTATCTATTTATTTGAAACAAGGTTTCACTGTTTCCTTGGGCTGGTCTCAACACTTGAGATGACAGGTGCACATTTGAAAGATTCTTAAACATCCCAAGAAACACACGTCCACCTTCCCCCTCCTGGCAGAAGACTCGCCTTTGAGAGTGGCCACAGCTTCTCCCACTTGTCGCAGGAGGAACGCTCCATCCTCCACGTCTTTCAGAGTCACCACTCGGCCAGCGGATGAAGAGTCCTTCTTCAAGTCCTCAACAAAGTCCTCCAGCTCACTGTGAGGGGGTCAGACAGTGGAGGAAATGAGCTTGGAGGGTCTGAGAAAGGTCTGGAGCAGGAGCAGGGCACTCCCCATTTTCTGGGGCGTCCCAGCCCCACCTTGGGCTTCCATGGAGGTGGTGGGAGCACATTAAATGGTAGTTTGCTTTGGAACATTGCATAGAGGTATAAGGCAGCTACAGGAAAGGCCTCCTGTGCCTGCCATTTGAGGCCCAGGTTGGCCAGGTGTGTGTGTGTGTGTGTGTGTGTGTGTGTGTGTGTGTGTGTTGGGGGAGTGGCTTGTGGCTTGCTGAAGATATTGTTAATTTTCAGTGATATTCATGCCAGCCAAGGGAGCAATGTGTACCCTTGGTGACCAGGAAGGGAGGGAGAGAAAAAGTGAGGGAAGAAAGTAGTGATGGACAGTGTAAGAAAGATAGTGATGGAGGCAGGCGATGTGAAGGGGTGCCGTGAGCCAGTTTTACAGTGGAGTGAAATCAGACTACCAGGTTTCTCAACTTTGGCATGTGACATTTTGGACCAAACAATTTCTTTTTTAGTACAGGGCTATCTTGTGCACTATGGATGTTTAGCTACATCCCTGGCCTCTATCTGTTGAGTGCCAATAGCAAGTGACTCCAAATTCCAATAATTTGTGACATGTGAAAGTCCCTTGATATTGTCAGCTGTCCTTGGGAGAGAGCAAAACTGCCCTCAAAATTCCCTAATAGATAACCTTTAGTAAATCTGATTGTCCCACCAATAATGATTGCCTCTCTTCTTATGGCAAAGCACTTAGACATCTGATTTCTGGTGTGTGTGTGTGTGTGTGTGTGTGTGTGTGTGTGTGCGCGTGCACGTGCATGCGTGAGCACAGATACCAAGTCCAACAGAACTAAGTTACATTCTTCCACTTGAGAAAACAAAAACAATCTGCCCAGGCCTCTTTACTCGTCCCCTATGTATTTGTATTCTTTCAATTTGTCTCTGCAAATTCAAGAGAAAGCTTTTCTTAAAGATTAGTGAGGATAGCATGCGGGGAAACATACGACCACTAGGTGGCAGCAAATGAATGTCAACTCTACCTCCAGGAGCCCTAGTGGAGCAGGCAGAGGTGACCTGGTCCCTTTCCTCTCAGTAAGGGAGTGGAGGGAGCTAGGATAGCTGCATGACCAGCAGGGCAGAGTATACATTCAATAAAGACGAAGTCACACACAACAAATTTGACCTCTTCTGAGCAAGGAGATGGAGTAGTTGGTGATGCTGGCCATTCTGATATAAACATTTCAGAGACAAGGATCCATTTAGGGTCATCACCTTGGCTTCTCTGTGTCTGCATTTGTGAAACATGCCGGGTGTTATGTGAGTATATCCACAGGACACATACAGTGGCTGCTCCTTGAGGTGGGAACTGGGCCACTCCTTGTGAGACCTCTAAATACGATCACCTTTGTGACTCTATACTCTACCCAATCCCTTCAGGCTTTCATACAGCCCTTTGACGCTAAGACCTGAGTGCTATTCCAGTTCCATCAACCTCCCATATGCTGGTCAGTATGCAAATACTCTTCCAAGGAGATATTACTTGACCCAAAGCCATTCTACCAAAATAAAATCCTATTCAACTTTCTCTGACACAGTCCGCCCCCTGTGCATTGTGATGCAGCCATCGGAAGATCTCCAGACTCTGCCCCCCTTTGCTGTGCAGCAGGGAACCTCTGACACCACTATTCTCTTGGCTCACGTGCTTGTGATTTCCATTTAAAGCACTGAAGGTCACTGCTGTGAATGATTGATTGATAAATAAAACACTGATTGCCCAGTAGCCAGGCAGGAAGTATAGGCGGGACTAGCAGAGAGGTGAATTGAGAGAACAGGAAGGCAGAGAGGAGGAGACGCCAGCCTGCCATCCAGGGAGCATCATGTAGAGGCAGCAGGTAAAGCCACGGAACACGTGGCGACATATAGATTAACAGAAATGGGCTGAGTATAAGAGTAAGAGCTAGACAATGGTAGGCCTGAGCAAATGGCTGAGCAGTTTAAATAATATAAGCATCTGTATGTTTATTTTATAAGTGGGCTATGGGACTGCCGGGGATTGGCGGGACCCGGAGAGAAAAACTCTTAACTACTGGTCACTTTTATTAATTCAAAGATTGTAAAGAGACAATGCACCTAAAAATGAATGCAGACCATCTTTTGAAAATCATCAATGGGCTTTTGAAATGTTGGCTTTGCTCAACAAAACATCAGATATCCATGGGTGCTAAAGATTATAGCATTGGCTTAAGTTGCTTTTGATTCTGCCCTTGTTAAAAAGAAGCATATTGTTGGTTAAAATGAACTTAATCTGACTCTTATTAGAGGTCTGTTGGTTGACCCTCTCTCCACATTTCCCAGTGCATGCACCATTCCCAGAAATCCCCTCTTCTCTTTTCCTGTCCCTCCCTCTTAGACCTCCTCAGTCCTCCAACAACTCTATGGCTAATCCTGGTCAGCCAATTGCTGACTCCACCCTTGATTCAAGGTGATTTTCTTTATTGGCACAGTGGAGTGTCAGTATGAACAATTCTCTTGCAACAGAAGTACATTATATCCATGTAGAAAAGCATGAAGGATCTTGACTCAACTTTTCTCTATTCTTTTAAACCCCAATTCACCTCTCTCTCCTCACGCCTAATGGGCTGTATGAGAGTATTTCTTTTCTGGTGCTTAGAAGGAACAGGGAAGGGAGGGGCGGGGCAGAGAAGGGTAGTCATTGCTTCTTCAGAGGTCCAGAGTCAGAGTTTCCACTCATCTTTCTTAAGCCCTGTTCTCCTGCCATACAGACCCACCAAGTTATCTAGTTAAGATAGAAGGGGCATTTATGATATCATTAAAAGGAGATATTTCATAAATTTTAAATTAGTGCTGTGTGTATATGATGTGTGACTGAGCGTGCAAGGGCACACGTGTGGAAGTCAGAGGACACTTTTCTGGAGTTGGTTCTCTTGTTCTACCGTGGGTTCCCATGCTCTTCCAGTCTTGGGAAGTACAGCCCATCCAGGCATCCAGCAGGTCTCTAAAGCAGGAGTGTGGTCTATGGAGGGCGCCACGTGGATAGGAATGACACAATTCAAACATGAGAGGTCATTAGCACCTTGGACCCAATTTTCCTACCAACGCTCTTGCCCTCCTCCTCTAAGGATGTCCCACACTCTCCTGATCAAGAGCCATGCTGCCATGGAGACTGTAGAGTTTCCCAGGCCTTGATGGAGGGACACTTGGAATCACAGATACCAGGGTCAGCAGATCTCTGGTACACACAGTAGGGGCTCAGTAAAGAGGGGGGGGGAAATACCAACTAAGAAGAGCACCCTGTGGACAGGACGGTTTTTCTTCCAAGGTGACCAGCACTCACCGTAACTTCTTGCCAATCCTCTCCTCTTCATGAAGGTACTTCTGCCTCTCTTGCTCCACCAGGGTGCGCTGCCGCTGTACCGGATCCTCCAGTCTCTTCATTGTCTCCTTGACTTTGCTACTGATTTCCAGCTCAGCCTTCTTCATCATCGCCCTCAGAATCTCCTGGTTCTGCAGCTGTCGGACAAAAGAAATCAGCTTCCATTGGCTTCGCCTGTCTGCCACCACGAAGACTGAAAGAAAGCCCCGCTGTCTTCAGAAGTGGGCTCAGAGAAAAACCCCAGCTGAATCTTTATTTTGGTAAGAAAGAGAAGCAAGCAAGGACTGTATACAGCATTGCTTCCTCAAGGAACAGCTGAGCTTTAGCAAGCAAATGACAGCCGAACTTGAGTCTTTGTGTCTATAAAAAGGGAGAAGCTTTTCTACTTTTTGGCTACTGTCACACACACACACACACACACACACACACACACACACACACACACACACACACGAGGCACACACTCTGACGGACATGATTTTACAGAGAGGAGCCAAGAGCACTAGTGTTGGAAGCCAAGTAGATCAATCAACCCTCAATCGTTTGCCCACAGAGACTTGAGGCATACCATTGCTCTCCATTTCACTTTTCTCTGATGATGTGGGATCTGCTTTCCTTGGCAGAACTACTCTGGGGCTCTCATGAATACGTACCAACCATCGGCTTGACAGGAATTTTTCAGAATGTCTTTTAAAAGTGAATCTGTACTCTCTGGTTTGTTTGGCTCCAAGTCTCCATACCATGGAATCATAGCTCCCTACCATGTGATACTCAGTATTGATGGTGACAATGATAATGAGTTCAGAGGAGACCAAGGCTCTTGGGAATTTACTAATTTCACTAGATTTGACAAAGACTCCATGTGTATCTAAGACCACAATTTCCATACAGTTTCCAGAACTCTGGTTGTTCATCTCATGGAGCATACAGCATGCAAGTTTGTAGCTAGGCTTTCTAAGACACTTGTCAACACTTGCATCCTTGGGACAGAGCAATGATAGGCTTTCATATGGCCATGAAGGGGACGCCTTTCATCAGCCTTAGCAGCAGTGACTGCACTGTATTCCTTACATTATCCCTAAGTCCCCCTGAAACACCAGAGAGACTTTCAGTTGTTTTCAGGACCCTTCTCCACTACATGGCATCACCTCACAGGAGTGGGGACCCTGTTGTCATCTTCACACTGAAGGGAAGTACAGTTTGACCATGGTACCACTTGTTTAAAGCCTCGTTATGGTCTCCATTACCCAAGTGAAGAATAAACTGGGTCACATGCAAAGGCATCATTGAATTCCAATGTCAGTGCAAGATTCTGCGTGGTGATTATCCGCTAAAAGGGCCATGAATGTTACTAGTTTCCATACTGTTAATAAGGAAGTGTGATAACAGGACAATGGTTTTGGCGATTTAGGGAGACAATTTAAAAAATGTTTAGGATAGCATCTGGTGCAAATCTAACATTGAGTACACACCAGCCGTTGTTATCAGAGAGCAGAAACCTGGGGGTGGAGCCTGTGGTTGCATCTGGGAGGGAGCCAAATAAAAGTGTGACACTCTTGGTGACCTTTATGACTCACAGTCATGTTCACAGAGCTTTGCTAATGTCCTTTCCTTGTGCTCCTAAAATCAGTCAGTGCATAGCAGTCACGTGTCTTTGCTGTCTGTAGCTCTGTCCTGTCCTTCCTTGAGACAGCCCTTCCTGAGTATCTAGTCTCTTCTCAGTTATGGCTCCTACACTCCCTATGCCCACACCAACACCCTTTGGTCTTTCTGGCTTACTGAGCTCCTTTCTGCCACAGTGACCATGTACCTGCTATTTCCACCCCCTGAAATAGTCTTCCCACTGCCTTGTTAATTTCTGCTCTAGAAAAAGGATCCAATAACATCTTTCCAACAAATGAATGTAAGCAGCCATCTTGATAACAGAGAGCATTGGAAAACCCAGAATTTGTTCTCTAAGTGGTTGAATTAGGGAGTGACCCCCGGCTCAGGTGAGCCTTGGTCTCAGCCTGTGCTGCAGAGGCTGTGGAAGATCTATGGTCAACACTGTATAGGTCAATGAAACATCAACAGTATCACTGCCTTCTGTGAAAAGCTGTGCTCAAATTCAGGGCTACGGAGCAAGCTCCACAGACCTCTGCCTGGGATGGGGAAGTACCGTGAATGGAGATGGATTTGTAAGGCACAAAGAAGTACTCGATTAAATATTTGTAAAGGTTATGGATGCCTGGGTGCTTGTGAGAGAAGCATCTCATTTAACTGGGATGCAAACTGAGCACCGGGAATTTTTTTGACCTCCTGAGTGATTGTGTTTTGCCACCAAGGACAGTGTCATGGTCTGAGAAAGGGGCCCATGAAAGGAGAGATGGTATTACTGCTCTAAGAGCTAGGGCACAGCCCTCGGCCATAACCCTCCTGGCCACACCGGCAAAGAAACAAGTAACACTGCAATCTCATTAGCAGTAGACATTAAAATAGCTATCAAAATAGGAATTATTGTTGGGAGGGCCTTCACATTGAAAGTGGAAAGTAGGAAACAGACCCCCCCTCCTCGAGAGGTCGTGTGACTTGCTCAGTTTCATTTAGCAGTTGTGGGCTCAATCAGGGTTAAGAACAGGTCATTTTATCCTGACTCCCAAATTGCTCTTCTATCCAGACAAGCGTCTTGCTCTGTGCATACTCTATGGCACATATATCATTTCTGACACAGCTATGGACAGACAATTCTGTGTAACACAGAAGTAAGTTACTGTGCTGCCAGAGTAGAAGAGGACTGGAGGATCCTGAGGGCTAGGCTTTATTAGTCTCCTCGCCAGGAAGAAGACTTCCCAGGATTCAGCTGAGGAGACGGAGAGGGAACTTCTTATGGCACTGTGAGGAGCAATTCCTGAAGGGAGAAAGGCCAAGCTAGCTAATTCTGAGTCTACTTCTCCACCCTCTCCTCCCCTACCCTGCCCTGGTACTGCCATTATCTCCTGGTCATGAGAATGCCCCGGTTTATCCCTCAGAGTGCCAACAGGAAGCAAGGGCAAGACTTGGATCCATAGATGTGTCTGTCTTAATCCATCTCGGTATCTGAGAGCATAGGTAAGGTTTGTAGGTCTGTTTGCCTTTAAGATGATGAAGCCCATCAACGTTGTGAAGGGACAGTATACAAACAGTAAGATATACACGTTCACATTATGGTCACACTGCTCCGTAAGTCCACAAATGTGTCCACCAGTAAACACCACTAAAAAGAGAGAGGTTTTCTTGTCGTTCCAAATATTTCTTTCATAATCCCTCAAGTTTGCAACCTCTAGCCCAAGGAAGCCACCCATGCTTCTGTTCTCACAGAATACTTCCTCCTGTCCTGGAACATCATGCACATGGAATCCCACATTGTCCACTGTATCTGGCTTCTTTTATTACTCCCAGCCTCAGTGCTGAGATGGAACTCAGGGTCCTGCATGAGCTAGGCAACTGGTCTACCCTTGAGCTACACCCCCAGCCCAGCCCGGAGCTTTTGAGACTTCAGCAATGGTAGTTCAGCAGCTCATTCTTTTTATGGCCAAGTGACATTCCCTTGTATGGACTTACTAAACATTTTACATTTTGACTTGATTCTGGCGATCTTGCTCAAGTCACTTATTTCTAATGGCACTCTTACAGATCCCTTTCAACCTTACAAGCAATTGTGTTGTTTGTGAGGAGAGACAAGCACACTTTTACTTTCCGGCCATACACCTGCATTTCCTGTACTAGCCTTGCTGTGCTCAATAAGATATTCAGTACAGTGCTAAATAAAGTGATAGCTGACTTCCTTCCGCTTGGCTCTTACTTTTACTGGGCTCATGTATGGGGTTTCATTAGCAATACCATTTCCTATGGGCTGAGGAAGGTTCTTTCTCTCTGGATACTGCCGAGTGCTGGTGTCTCTGACGGTGAGTTCCAGCATTCTTCTTTTGTATTTACTGAAAGGCTATGCCTTTTTTATTCTGTTGATAGAGTTGAACATGCCAACTTATATTTCTATGCTAAAGAACTCTGGTATACTTGAGATAATTATCTTTTAATACAATTCTGAACGTCATGGCTATTATTTTGTTAAGGATTTGAGACCTTTATTTTTGCAAGGGCTACTACTGGTCAGTGACTCTCCTACCTTTGATTTTGTTCTTAGGGTGTGTGCTGGTTAGGTTTTGTCAACTTGACACAAGTGAGAGTTGTCTGGGAAGAGCGAACTTCAATTGAAGAATTGATGATCCTCCAGATCATTGTCAGATTGGCCTGTGGGCATGTCTGTGGGCCTTTTTCTTGATTAACAATCGATGTGGGAGGGCCTAGCCCACTTGAGCAGGGGTACCACTGGGCTGGTGGGCCTTGGTTTATAGAAGAAAGCAGGCTGAGCAAGCTATGGAGAGCAAGCCAGTAAGCAGCACCCCTCCACTGCCTCTGCTTCAGTTGCTGTTTGGACTTCCCTTCATGACGGACTGTGATTGGGACATGTAAGCCAAATGAACCCTTTTCTCTCCCGATTGCCTTTGGTCGTGGTGTTTATCACGACAATACAAAGCTAACTAGGACAGAGTGACACTGACTTCATGAGAAGAGCTGGGTACTAAGCATACTCCCTTACTGATTTCCTCCCTTTGGGCCTTTGAAGATGTCATTAAACTGTTTTTCTGTCTTGTCTTGTTTCTGATGAGAAGTGAGTATTAATCCTGATTTACGTTTCCTCGTAGAAAATGCTTCTCCCCCTTCTGTCTGCCTTTTCTATTAATCCTTGTTTTCTCTCGATCTGTTCCCAACATCCATTGCTGTGGTTTTCTTTTAGAGTACCAGCCTGGATATTCACTGGGCTCTTCAGTCTGTGGATTTGTAACCTTCATCAAATTTGGAAAACTTGTACCCCCTCTCTCTTGTAAGAGTTTCCTTTCCCCACGGACCCTTTAATACTGCTCCACAGGTCACTGAATTTTCGTGTTATTTCTTCTTGACTCTTAGATGGTTTCTTTTGCTGTTTTCTATTGCCTTCTTTGGCCAGTCCCTCATCTTTTAAGTCTATCCAGATACCGATTTTTGTTTCATCTATCCAAAGCTCTACCCTTAATCTCTTGTAGCATTGCTTCATGCTTTGTTCTAAATCCTTGAGAAT